CTGTTATATACTGGGACATGGCCCGTGGGACCCCGACAGTGGGACACCAGCGAGCCCGTCCTCAGACTCTGCTGTCTAATGCGGGTTTTACCCCAGCTGCCTCCTGCACCCCAACTTCTCAGCGGGGCTCCAGGCAGCGGGAAGAAATCACATCTCCCCTGGCTTCAGCCTCGTGGAAATGAGCTCTCCGCTCTAAGCTGGTCACGCAGCTCCCTCTATAGTCAGTGGAGAGAGACGGGGGACTCGTCCCACTGTCCCTGTCACCAGGGCTCTGCTCTCCTCTCCAGGCAGCACAAGCAGCCAAAGGGGTTCAGCTGCACCAGTTCCACCCGCCACCTCCCAGATGCCTGAGGAAAAGCTGCATCCGCATCCTTGAAATCAAGGGCCGGAGGCTGAGCCCATGGAGGCAGCACTCAACTGTCTCTGCTTGAACCCAAACTGTCTCAAAAAGCAAATGTCAAATCTTAATCCTTTCTGGGATATGACAAACAGGCAGGTAGGCTGGGAGTGCTTTTCTTTTTTCTTTGCACAAGCCATTAAATAATCCTTCAACGCTGATGGAAAGGTGCCAGGCTCAGCACCGGGGAGACAGGAGACCCCATTCTCTACCAAAACATAGAGCACTAACAAATGTGACCTCTCCAGGTGCCAAATCCTGCCCCTCCACAAGGCATTTGCTCTGGCAGCCTCCGCACAAGTGAATTCATAACACATATCATTTGTCAACTTTTCATCAAAAAGTGTGTAAATCCTTTCCCCCAAGTGCAGAGCTGTTTCACAGCCAGGCTATAAAATCCTGCAGAGTCTCTGTTCCAATAGAATGACATTAGTGCCAATAGTCTGGCAAATATCAGGGTGAATTTAATCAAAAGAACTAACACTGGGGCCCTGATTCCCAGCGGCCCATGACAGAGCAGAGCGGACAGGGGTTTGCTGGACTGAGATGTGGAATTTCACTCAACATCATCTGGAGCAGAGGGAAAGCAGAAGGAATGGAAAGCAGGGCTTCAGCATTCTGGGAACTCTTCACGCTCCCACAAAAATGAGGACTTCACCATTGTTATGAGTTTTAGAAGGTGAACACGCAAAGTTTCATCTAGCTGGGGTTTGGATTTGATGGCTCTGGCAGAGGAGAGGGCATCCTGTTGCTATGAGCCCATCCGTGCCCCTCGGTGGAGGAGCGGCACCACTACTGGAGTCTTCCAGCCCCAGTGTCCCTGTCCGGGGCCATGCAGAGATCAGTTGTGCGGTCTGACCACAAAACCCCTGAGCCCTTGCTTGAGTAACTGGTGTCCCTGGGCTCGTCTGACCACCCACCCGCAGCAGGCACGGTGCTCCATCAGCTCCCAGTTCCAGCCTGGCAGGCGCTGGCGCATTCCCAGCGTTACCACTTCATGCAATATCTCCGCTCCATCTGTCATCAATTCCTTTGCATGTGGTTTGCAGACTCCATGCCCTGCTCTGCCTGTTGCTGGCTCTGCAACAGGGCATCGCTGGGGACTGTCAACGGTTTATCAGGCTTGCAAGGAAATAAATGGAACGGGGGAGGAACATGGCATGGCCCCAGTGCTTATAACCGTCAGGGTGACAGTGATCCATAAATCCAAAAACCTGTGCTGCTGAGACAACCCTTGATCATAAAAAAAATCTTTTAATTAAAGATCATTATACTTTTGGCCATTAGAAAAGCACCCAGCCGTCTGCTGGGGCAGGAGGACACTGCCCAGCTCCAATTTCTGCTCCCCCTTTGCTGCCTGAGCCTCCCACCGTGCCCTGTGACACACACAGAATTCTGTGGCATTTTCTTTTTCTCCAAGTTAAAAGAAAAAGAAAAAAGTTGACCTTGTGCAAACATTTCTGCTATTTTTGCACAAATAACAAATCCAACTGTTGGAAATAATGCGAGTCATGCCTCTGTGATTTTCTGATGTTAGATGCTTTATGAATTGAGGTACATAACCCAGTGCATAGGATGGGATGAGAGATGGGAAGCACAGATGAGAGGAAAGTCAGTTTAGCTGGATGTGTCTGTTAGGCTGAATTAATACCAAAATCTCTTTGGCAGTTCTTTCATGGACCATTTGCAATGAGCTCACCCAAGCTTGTGCACGCTTGCTGGCGGGTAAGCGTGCTGCATGCTTCCTTGGCAGCTCCTGACCAGCTCATGAGGCACCAGGGCTCTAGGAGATGCATTTGTTTAAATGTTATGTGTGGGACATGAACGGAGCAATGCGATGGTTGAATGAATCAAGTCTTACAGAGAAAACACAGTCTGCTGGGTGAGATGAGACATGAGGCAACTGTGAGGGAGATGGCAGATGCTACAGGATGGTTAATTCCTTAATTCTAAACACATTTGGTCAAGATGAGACTCTGGGAGAGGTTTGCCCATTGGCAGATGGCTCGGTGAGATGATGAATTAATACTGTTATCAATGGGGAAATGGTGAGGTTGTTACATGGCAGGGTTTGGGTTTAAAAATGTTTTTTAGAAATGCCTTTAAAAACAACTTTTGAAAGATTGTTTCCAACAATTATTTCAGAACAGCCCCTGAATCCGGGAAGCAAAACAGGGAACATGAAATCCCCTGTGTCAGAGCAGAGCTCAGGAAAATGAAGTTTCAAAGGAATGCCTTTGCTGCAGGAAACTTCATTTCGCTCGCTTTTGTATAGGACGATGGATTACGCCAACAATAAACCATTCCGGCTACTGTGAAATTGTGCTAATAGGCTGTGGGTCGGGGAGCTGCTCATGCATCAGCATATTTATTACATACCTTTGTATCTGTTAGCTCCAATAGCCACAGTTTTGTTAGAAACCATGGGGGGCTGGAGAGCTATTTAAATTTGGCGGTCTCAGATTTCAAGAGCAGGAGGCAGGAGATGGAAAAAAGACAATTGCAAAGAGCATTTAATAGAGTGAATGACCCAGCAACTGGGAAATTCACCCTTCCAGCAGTGCTGAATGCCTCCTGAAGGCCAGCACACACCTTCTTGCATGCTTGTTTGGGGAAACCGAGGCACAACATGGCTCTGAGGTCTCCCTCCCACAGGTACCACCTGCACGCTGCTGTGGGTTTTGGGTACAACCACTGTGCTACCAGCCAGGGAACAGCAAGGATAAATGGGCAGGAGATGGGGAGCGGGCTGCCTAGCTGAAGAGGAGAGCTGGAAAAAGCAGGAGCAAGGAAGGGCCTGGGAAATGCTGAAGTCAATGAGACAGAGATGGGTACGTGTGGTCATCACTGCCAACACAGGGCAGGGACTGCCTTTCCCAGGGTGGAAAAGCCGGGGATGGACAGGAGATGGGATCTGCCCTACCCTCCAGCTGAGCATCCCCTCTCTGGACTGTGCCGCTGTGCAGATCCCTACTGATGCACAGTGATCTGGCGGCTAGGAAAAAGCACTTATCATCTCCCACCAATCCCACCAGATCCCCAGGAGCTCCCATGCTGAGGAGGCAGCCAGGATAAACCAGAGCCCTGGGAAGAAGTGAGCTGTGCTTGTGCAGGGCAGGGATTTCCCACCACCACCCCAAACCCCTTTCTGTGGAGCAGGAAGGTCAATGAGAATCAATCTCTGGTCATCAGCAAGTGCCAGTTTGAGCATGCCACTGCCCAGGGTGATGGATACCCGCCTGCAGCACTGCCCGGCCCGTTCCAGAGAAGCCTTCACAATCTCTGTTTGCCTCAACCTAATGCACTGTTGTTCCTTCAGCTGTAGCCCGGCTGGGAAAGCACAAACATGAACATTAGGACACAAATCCACTCGGCAGTGGCTGGCAGCTTGCTCCAGAGTGGAGTCCAGATGGGATATGAGTGTTGGGGCTGGCCTAGGAAGTGGCTCTGCCCAAAAGGGCAGCTCCTGACCTCCTCCAGAGCCATAGGTTGGGTTCACATCCCACCAGCCCCTGTTGGATGGAGCTGTCAGTATCTTCCATGCAGGGCAGGTTGAAAAGGGCTCACTGAGATAGTCTTTATAAGGTGAAAATGGAGAAGTTGGGCCATCTAAAGCTGTGATCTCTTTTTCTGCTTTGGCACAGAGTGTGTTTGTTCTCAGTGGAAAAAAAAACAACCCAAAATAAAAAAATACCCCAAAACTAAACAAAAACATGAAGGAAGAAGTGTTCCCATTAAAAAATAGGGAATGCTGAAGACCCAAATCTTTCCAACCAAAAATACCCAGCTCAGGCCAAAAAGCTTTCCATTTCTCATTGAAACGAGTCTTTAGAGAGAAAAGAGATGAAGTTTTCTGCAGGAAGGCCCAGCATCTTCTAATCTGTTTTTTTGTTTTTAATGTTTGCTTGATTATTTTAGCTGTGTCTCAGGTTCAGGATTTAAATCTCTTCCAGCAGACATCTGAGAGTTAAAAGAGTTCACTTGCAGAATTTGCTCTTATTGCTGCTCTGCCCCAAGCCCCGCTCACCCTGATGGCCATGGCAGGAGAAAAGTAAGCATCAAAAAACTCCATTTGTGGAGCTCAAAGTGAAATTGATTCCTCTTCTACTGTTCTCACCTTTCCCCCATTCACTGTGGGATGTTGTGTGCGTGGGTTAAGTGCTGCCTGTCCCCGAGCAGCACTGGGGTGAGGGTGGAGGATGGGAGCAGGAGATGGGCTGATTTAAGGCACTACATCTAACCCCATACCTGGGAATTTATGCAACTGTGCCCTTACATGGGTGATGACCAAGTTATCTGCAGTTGTTGGAGTGGATGTAGCACAAGTTTCAAGTGATGAAACCTGAAATAATTTGAAGTCATCCTTACCAGTGAGGACTTCTTGTATATTGGTAGCCTTGTCCTCACTAGGAGGATGGGAACACCAGGGAGAGGTGATGGCAAGGAACACGGTGGCGAGAAAAGTCCTTTCAAGGGATTGGTTTGAGAGAGGGAGGAGCAGGAGAGTTTGGCGAGAGCAGGAGCTGCGGAAGCAGGAGCAGCAGGAAGTGGCTGAAGAAGCAGAAGCTGTGTGATCCCAGCCAACCCACCCCTAACCCCGTACCTTTGCAGGCCTTGCGGTGGGAGATGGGCTTGCTGAGGTCCCGGTAGAAGCCCTCCTTGCAGTAGTGGCAGTGCCGCCCAGCAGTGTTGTGCCGGCAGTTGAGGCACACGCCGCCGCTCTTGCGCCCGGACAGCTTGTAGAGCTCCATGTTGAAGCGGCACCGCCGGGCATGCAGGTTGCAGTTGCAGGCTGAGAGAGGTGAAGAGAAGAGACCATCAGCATCTGCACCAGCCATGGAGCTGCCAACCCCAGGAGAGCCGGTGCGCATGGGGCTGGGCACTCTCAGGGTCCTACCGGGATGTCAGAGGATGGGATGCACTGGTGGCACCTCTGGCTATGGGAAGACAACTGCTAACCCGCATCCCTCCTCGGCCAGTTCTGTGTGGTGAATCCAGCTTTTTGGAGGGGAAGCTGAAGTTGCTGAGACCTCGTTTCACCACTGTGACTTGCGACAAATACGCCTTTTGCCTCTCCCCATTCTTACCGTGGATTAAAAGCTGTGTGCAGGCAGAGCTGTGAGGGCAGGGAGCCCATCCATGATTAGGAAATGGCAGTGCACAAGCCCTCAGCTGCTCCTCCAGCTTTGTGGCAAGCTCTTTGTCCCATGCAAGCACTGCTCATCTCGCTTCTCATCTGCTCTTGCACTGTGGTGCTTCATAGAATCATAGACTCATGGAATGGTTTGAGTTGGAATGGACCTTAAAGCTCATCCAGTTCCAACCCCTGCCACGGGCAGGGACACCTTCCACTAGAGCAGCTTGCTCCAAGCCCCATCCAACCTGGCCTTGAACACTGCCATCATGCTTCTGTTGGTACAATCCCCTCCAAACGCTGTGAATCCCCCTCGTCCCAGATGTTCCCAGCATTCCCACTCTCACCAGTCCTGACACGTGTGTGTCTGAACCCCAGATATAATTTCAAGCCCTTCCTAGGTAACTTCTCCCCTGTCTTTCCTTCCCGTGCTTGGTACACGTAGAACAGGGTTCTGTTACATGTCTACATCCCCGAACAGGCTGATAAAGCCTCACCTCTGGCTCTACATCTCTCACCCCACCACTGGGACAGGGCCGGCCTGGCGCCCAGGTCGTCAAACACCAAAAAGTCCCCCTCTGCTTTGATTGCATGTGCTGTGACTGAACCTGCCTGGAGAGTCCCCACCATATGCAACCTAATGTCAACACAAGGACTGTTTTAACAGGGGGCCTTTGCAAAGGACAGGACTTCAAAAGCTCGACCCCTCGCCTGCCTCTCCCCAGAGCTGTCACTGGAGCATCAAGAGGCAGAGGCTGGGGCTCTGTGCTTTGCTGAGAATTTTATAGCTTGTTTTCTTTTCCCTTTGCTTTTATTTGCTCTTCACCCCTGAACAATGCATCTGTGCAATGCCAACCCACAGCTGGGCCTCTTCGGCTCAGCACGAAGGTGTCACGGCTCTGGGCTTGTCACCTTCCTTCAGAGTACAGACATCTTAATCCCTCATTCCTTCCTGTTTACCTTATGGTGCTTACCCAAGACAAAGACATGTTATATTTGCTTAATTATCAAATTTCAGACCAGAAAATTACAGTGCAGTTCCGGATTATTTATCAGGAACAATCCCCAGCTAACTCACGACATGAAAGCAAAAGGGAGAGAAAAATCCTCCGGGCACGTCCAACCAGCAGGATGGAGGCTGTTCCCTCCGTGCTTTGCTACCTGAATTCCTCTGGCTAACGCAGTGAGGCCCAACTCATGTCTCCACCAAATGCTGGCAGAGCAGGAGAAGCAGCCACCAACGTGCTAATGGTGAGAAGAGAGGCCTGGGAGCGATTTGCCTGCTGTGAGAAAGTGAGATTCCTGACAGCGAGCAGGGTCAGGGCTTTGCGCTGTGGTTTGCCTCGCCTTAGATGAGCCCACCAGAATGTGGGTGCATTTGTCATCTCCCAGAACAGGAGGGAACCATCAAGGAGGCCGGAGACACAGCTCCTGCGTGCAGAGGGAATTGCGGCAGTTTAGACCCGGACACATCGGCTGATGCTGCGAATGCACTTAAATACCCTGTTTGCAGCTAAAAGAAGTGCAGGAGCATGCACAAGGTGCTTTCTGCAACCCCCCTTGTAGATTCTTCCCCTTCCGTCTCACTCTCAGGAAAAGCACTTTGTGCTTTGCCAGGAATGCTCAGCTATGCCGTCCTTTACTCACGGCGTGCCAAGGAGCCTCTGTCACCATGATGGCTGCACCACAGACAGCATTGTACAGAGCACAGAATTATAGAATCCCAGACTGGTTTGGGTTGAAGATACCTTAAAGCTCCAACCCCTGCCACAGGCAGGGACCCCTTCCACTAGAGCAGCTTGCTCCAAGCCCCTGTGTCCAACCTGGCCTTGAACGCTGCCAGGGATGGGGCAGCCACAGCTTCTCTGGGCACCCTGTGCCAGCGCCTCAGCACCCTCACAGGGAAGAGCTTCTGCCTGAGAGCTCATCTCAGTCTCCCCTCTGGCAGGTTAATAGGGGATTGGAGGCGATTCTTGCCCTGCAGAACACGAGCTGAGCTTTTGGAAAGGGGGTGGCATTTTTGAAGTCCCAATACTTGTTTTACAGAAAGGCCTCAGGGCTGAGTGATGGTTCCCTACAGAGCCTTCCCTCAGGCATGGACCAGCTGAGAGGTGCATCAGGCCTGCAGCATGAAGGATGTCCTCTTGGATGTAGCTAACCACCAAGGCAACACCTGTATCAATGGCTTGGCCTCAGGGCTCAGCTCAAGCAGAAGAAAGGAAGATTTAACTCCGGCAGCCTGAAGGTCTGTCCTCCCTGCTGTAGCCTGTGACCACATCTCCGTCGTTCAAAACCTCAAGACTCACTAGCAGCTCTGCCTTTGGTGCTGCAAACCACAGGATTTAGTCCCTGTTGACTAACATGAGAAGGCATTTCTCCAGGGGGTGGCTTGGCCTCACAGAAGACCTCATTCTTCCTTAAATCTGGTAGAAATGCATGTTTTCCAAAGAGCATGAAAGCTCACTTCCTCCTAAAACTCCTTTTTTAGGAGCGCTGGACTTGATACTTGAGTGTTTTGCAAGACTGCATTGGCAAATCCCTTTTTAACATTCAAAGCTGAGCCCACCCGAAGAGTGAGTGAAAATCTTCACATTTCCCTGGGCTGCTTGATAAGCAGAAATGCTTTTGCAAAGCCAGGAAAGCAAAACTCCTGGGGTTTTCTCAAGATCCTTGCAAATATTTCCACTGGTCCCACCAGGCCGAAGCTGCGCAGGAATGTGGAGGAGTAAGTGGAGTGTGCAGAGCTGCCGGCATCCCTGCTCCCAGGATCCATTGTACACTGATCTTCCAGGGCTGGGAAAATCCAGTGTCTGGAGAAGGGAAGAAGCCGAACCTCACGAGAAGCTGCATGTTGCTCCCCAAAACAGCTGTCCTTGTCCTCATCCAGAGAAGAGGACCTCATTTGTGTAGCTTCAGGAGCAAGTGAGTGAGCTGGGAGAAGGTGTAGGCTGTAGAGCCCCTCTCCATAGCCAGCATCCCGGCACTTGGCCTCCCTGTGAGCTGCCCACAAGCACCCCAAGCAGCCAGGCAGTGATGGCCACTTCTCCACTGTGACTGTTCAGATTCGTTTGGCTCTGTTAGCTTAGCCTTGGCTCTGTCCCTTCCTTCCAGCTGCACTCCCAGGGCTCTGAGGACATCCGCTGGGCAACAGCTGCCTCCCAACCCCATCACATAGTGCTTTTCCATCATTCACCTCCTCCTAATCCACCTGTTTGTGCAGACAAGGTGCCAAACCAGCTAAAAGAGAGTGGGTTTAGTTGAAATTACTGCCTCCTGGGCTCACCCTGAATGCTTGGGTGCTGAGTGGCCAGTGCTGTGCACTGCTGGCTGCCAGCCAGGGCTAGCTGGCAGCTCAGTCTGTATGTAGCCTGATGTGTTTGCAGATGCCCAGTGGGAGAGGGTTGGTCCAACAGAAGGAAAATAGCCATCCTATTTTTCCCTGACAATAGGACATAGGAATGAAAGAATTAGGGCAATGAATTTAATGTCCCATCTTGGCGTCAGAAAGTCCTTGCTGGGACGATGTTGGTACAACGTCATGATGGGATCCATCACGCTGGTCCTGCCCCCTCAGAGGAAACCAGCAGTGGGGGCCCAGAGATGCTTATGCAGACAATGCCTGATCCCACCACTGCTGCCTTGAGCTGGCCGTTGGGACCAACAGGAACCCATCAGCAGATCGTGATGCTTATGGATCCCAGCTCCAGATCTGCATGTGGTGCTGGTGCCGCGGGCAGGGTGTGCGGCTCTCCCAGCCACGTTTCCCTGGACAGAGTTGCTCAGGAAATGCGGCTCCCGCCCACCCTCTGCCTTGCCCAGTGGTTAATCCCCTGCTGTGCTAAAGCATTTTGCCTCCTTCCTAACATGAATTTGCCTGGCTTTAATTTCCAACCATTGCTTCTTGGTTTGAATTTCTCTGCCACAGTAAGTGCTCTTTAGCAACCCATCTTTTCTTTCTATGAATGCCTGCGCCAGCTGCAATAAAAATCACCTCCCAGTATTGGCATCACCTATGCTCCCCACGCTTTGCTATTCAGCCAGTGGAGAGGACACCCCTGCATGGGCTGCAGCCCCAGCTACGGCAAGAACATGTGCCAGGTGCTGAGACTCTCCAATAAAAGGTTTTGGCTCCAAATGCTCAGATAAGCCCAGTGCTGTTGTCTCCTGCTCTCTTCTTTCTCTTATTTTGCCAAGGACCTCACAGGCCTTTTGTTCGCTAACTTTATTGCACACAGATGTACAGAGCTTCATCAAACAGTCTCTACCTGGGCCGCCAGGCTATGATATAAATAACCAGGTATCACTTAAACACAGATGTTTAGAAATCTGGGGAAGGTTGGAGCAGAAAAGAGGAAAGCTGTGGATTCAAGATGGGTGAAGAAACCACAGCAGAAGCATCTCCACATTAAAAACTGTGGCTTGGCCAAATGAATCTGTCGAAGAAGGTCAAGGCAGGCAGGATTTTCCATATGGGAGAACTAATGGAGATATGTGAATGGGAGGTGCTGGAGCTGTGTGGTGGGAACTGTAGTTGTGGCCTTTTGTGCTGCTGTCCTGTCCCCCAGGCCTCACGTCCCAGTGCCCTGCGTCTCCCAGGACACATTCCTCTCCGTGGTTTTCATTCAGCAATGACAATGCTGCCTTTTCAAAAGACCCCA